AAATGCAAAATAAGAAAATGTTTACATTTGTACAGGCCCTACCAAAGTTTGAGGAAAAGGATGTGTAGTCATTCTTTATGTAATTTGAAAATGTAGCAAATCAAATTAAATGACTTAAGGAGAACTGGACACTACTTATACAGAACAAGTCGGCAGGTTGAATCCATGAGATTTGTGTATCGTTGTCATATTATGATGCTGTAAAAGGAACTAGCCTTGGTTTCATCACTGATGTGATTCTCAAAATCTTTAATGCATCCAATGATACTTTTTGTTCAGTCATGGGGTGTGGGCATTGCTGGCGACGCCAGCATTTATTGCCTATTTCTATTTATCTTGGAGAAGATGGGGTGAGCTGCCTTCCCGAACTGCTGCGGTCTGTGTGGTTAGGAACACCCACAATTATGTTGAGAAGGAGTTAGAATGAAGTTCTATCTTATCAAAACACCCTTGGTGCCTTTTGCTACATTTTCCTGCTTCTGATCAAAGGTTGCTTTTCAATGAGTGTTCTAGCTTCAATCCTCAGTGATGCCTCCTTCACCTCATGGTTTACTGACAAAAGCTATAGTTTTCATGACTGGTCAATGTCAGGTTAACAGCACCAACTTTTTTTGTGACATAGAACATATATATAATTAACATCTTTCCTTACTGTGTCCCTCACAGAGTTATTCTGAGCAGTCAAATCCCATTTCCACCATATGCCATAAGTATGCCACTACTGGGATTTGGAGCATCTTTCCCTCAGTTACCATTTTCCTTATCATTTTAAGGAAAGAACTTTTGATATATCTTGAGTTTGATGGTGTTACTCTGTGCTCCAGAAAAAACCTTCAGCTTCTCAAAAAGATTGTGGCTTATTTCTCCCTCTCTTACCAATCTGAATGATTGTGTAAATTTCTTTCATCTGGAAACTGTCCCATCCAGATATCTCAGACAATTTATGGCTCCTATACCCGTTATGTTCTCAAATTTGCCATGTTGCTCTGTCCCTGATAACATATTTGCAATCTTGTTTTATTGTTTTGCACATCTTTTTCACAAGCTCTGCACTTTGAACCATTTGTGGCATGCTTCCTTTTGTTTGTGAACTTATGTTCTTGCCAATCGCTCTGTCATGTCTCACTCTGTGATGTGTATCCTTTTATTGGTGTTTCAATGCATCAACCTCGTTACCTTTTTGAAGACACAACTGCCAGCTAATCATTTTGGTGGTCAATATTTTCACTGGTCCATTTGCAATGATATGTGCTCTGGCATTGTCTTCACTCTCTGATATTGTGAGCTTGTCCCTTCTACTGCAAACATTTTGTACTTTGCGATGTGTAGAACCCCAGTTGAGCAAACCTAGCAGCTTTTCATCAAAAATGCAACATATTAAATACATTTCACAAATTTTTGTGTAATGTGGTTCTGTGAATATTTTAAAACATGGAAAAGGTGTGTCAGGAGCAAAAACAGTAGGGAACCTCTGGCCAAGAAAACACAACAATGCCCATAATTGCCACACTTAGGTCTCTGCTCTGTGCATTTATCAAGTATTAAAATCTTGAAAAATAGCAACATCTAATGGTGAGGAGAATAATTTATAACAGCTTGCCATACTTCTTTTGTCATACTCGAATTAGTTCAGAGATGACAGCAGCTTGTATATGGTGATGGATCACACTCTTACAAGAAAGCCATGCAAGTTAATTGAGAAGAACAGAAAATTATGCATTCCAATCTAAGAGACTGTAAAGTATGCTGGAGATAAAGGAAGCTGACAAATATAAGGACTGCTAGTCAATACAGCTACAATAGTTCAGAAGACTGTGACAGTGTTCAAAGGGTACACACAGAGAAAACACAGAGAAAAATCTGTGAGCTTTGGAGAAAAGGTGTCAAAATTTTTAAAAATAAACAGCAGAAGTCCATTAATTCAGACAGTAAAAGAAGAGAAGTTTTCTAAAGACAAATCTGCGTGTAATTACTTGAATATTTTTAAAGTAAAATCTTGGATCATTTAAAAAAGTTTGTTCATGTTACTGGCAATTTTCCAGAATCAAGCACTGTTTTCTTTTCTGTCCCTCTGTATTATAAATACCTCTAAGATAATGTGATAGCAGAGCCAGAAGCGGTGTGGTGTGGTACAGAGTTTGGCACCACTAATTTTAAGAGCTATTTTTAAGATATTGCATTTTTAATAAATTTAAGATCTACATTGCTGTTAATCAAATGCCAATAAAAATGAATAATAAGACAAGGACAGATTTATGAATTTCTATTCAACTTCATGAATCAAGAAGAAATATTTAGGCATAACGTATTTATTAGGGAATACTTCTGCAATAGAATGACATAACATGCTGATTCAACATGCTTTTTTTTTAACAGAGTACCAAATCCTTATTCTTGTCTGAGAACATTGCAAGCTTTACTTACTTCCCTCTCTGCCTATCCTGCCACTTTCAATGATCTGTGCACATATGCACATATGCACCCAGATCCCTCTGTTCCTGTACCCTACTCCCTCACCCAAATACCAAAATCCAGATCACTAATATGTATCAGGAAAGGAGGGTCCTAATACTGATCCCTGGAAAACTCCACTACAAACCATATTTCTGCCCTATCAATTTTGGATTCTACTGGTGTCTGAGTTCCCTCCTCAGTCACAATGACCTGTGCAGCGTCTCTCGCTTCATTAAAGACAGATGCAACATATTCATTTAACACAGTAGGTCTGGCAGCAACTGTGGAGAGAAATTAGAGTGAACGTTTTGGGTTGAGTGACCGTTCCTCAGAACTGATGGTAGCTAGGAGAATGTTGGTTTATATGCAGAATATAGGGTGGGGAGAAGGGAGTATGAAGTAAACAATAGGTGGGGTTAGAGCCTAAAGAGAGAGAAGAACTGTTCGACAGACAAAGGACTGGATAACAATCTTGGTAGGAGGGTGAATAGCTATTAATAGGGACTGTTAGTGGCTAACAATGGTTTCAGTGGAATAGCAGACTATGTGATAACAAGGCCTGGTGTGTGGGGTTTGAGGTAAGAACATGGGAAAGCTCAAGTCCTAAAGTTATTGAACTCAATTTTGAGTCCAGAAGGCTCCAGGGTACCCATTCAGAAAATGAGGTACTGTTCTTCCAGTTTGTGCTGAGCTTCGCTGGAGTACTGCGGCAAGCCTGAGCCAGAGATATTGGTCAGGGAAGAAGGTGGTGTGTTGAAGTGGTAGGCAATGGGAAATTCAGGGTCTTTTTTGCAGACAGAACATAGGTGTTCTGCGAAGCGGTCACCCAGGCTATGCTTTGTTTCCCCAATGTAGAGGAGACCACATTGTGAGCAGCGAACGCAGTAGACTAGATTGAGAGAAATGCAGGTAAAGTGCTGCTTCACCTGGAACATGTGTTTGGGCCCTTGGATGCTGAGGAGGAAGGAGGTAAATGGACAGGTGTTAAACCTTCTATGTTTATGGGAGAAGGTGCTGTGGGGCTAGAGGATACGTGTTGGGAGTGAAGGAAGAATGGATTAGGGTGTTCCAGAGGGAACGGTCCCTGTGGAAGGCAGATAAGGAAGGGGAGGGGAATTATGTATCTAGTGTGGCATCTCACTGGAGGTGGTGAAAACGATGGCGAATGATCCTGTGGATGTGGATGCTGGTGGGATTGTAGGTAAGGACAAGGGGTACCCTATCACTGTTGTGCAAGGGAAGTGGGGGTCTTAAGGCTGAAGTGCGGGAGATGGATCGGACCCAGCTGAGGGCCCTCTCAACAGTGGTGCTGGGGAATCTTTGGTTGAGGAAGAAGATGGACAATTTGGAAGTTCCCTTGTCAGAGTTGACATCATTGGAACAGATGTGACAAAGACAGAGGAACTGGAAGAATGGAATAGAGTCTTCACAGGAAGCAGAATGTACAGTCTAGGTGAATGTCAGAGTCAGTGGGTTTGTAATGGATACTGGGGATAGGCTGACTACTCCTTTGTCCAACTGTTCTTTTCTCTCTTTGAGCTCCTTTACTCCTTATCCCCTTCCCTCACCCTATCTTCTGCATATAAACCAACATTTCCTAGCTACCATCAGTTCTGAGGAAGGGTCAATCATCCCGAAATGTTAAATCTGATTTCTCTTCACTGGTGCTGCCAGACCTGGTGAGCTTTTCCAGCATTTTCTGTTTTTGTTTCTGATTTCCAGCATCTGCAGTTCTTTTGGTTTTATTCATTTAACACCTCAGCCATGGCCCCTGTTTCGAGGTATCCATTCCTTTTTAATCCTGAATCAGTCCTATTTCTTCTTTTACAACTCTTCTAGTATTTATATTTCAGTGGAGGACATTGGGAGACCTCTTTGTGTTGAGTGCTAATCCTTTCTTATAATTCCTACTTTTCTTCTTTGTTTGTTCACCTTCCCTCTGATTGGTATTCTTCTCAGTTTTCAATTTTATTTTCTACCTGACGCTCGTTATAAGCACACTTTTTCTTCTTCATCTTATTTTCTATCTTTTTTACCACTTGGGAAGCCTTGGATCTGTTTGTTTTACCTTTCCCATTTGAGGGAATATGCCCTGACCATAACTGAATCATCTTTTTGAAGCTACACCATTGTTCATTTACTCATTTTCCTGCTAACCTTCCATTCCAGTCAATACTAAGGACTTTCTGAAGATTGAACTTTAAACTGGCTGGTTAGCATTGTCATCTGTCCAGAGCCCGAAAGAGTGAAGCTAGCATCAATATTTTCATTAAAAATGCAATTTATTAAATGTTGTTTTTAAAAAGTTCTTGTGTTGCGTAAGATCTATGAACTTTTTGTAACATCGTAAGTGTACTTCAGAAACAAAAACTATAGAGAACCTCTGGCCATGAGAATATAACAACGCCGATAGTTTCTGCATTTAAGTCTCTGCTCTGTGTACTTATTTATCAAATGCTAAGTTCCTGTAAAATAGCACCGACTAGTGATGAGAATAGTAATCTATCTAAGCAGCTTGCCTGACTTGTTTCTCACAATTCAGTTTGCTTGGAGCTGACAACAGCTGGTAGATCGTGGTAGATCACACCCTTACAAGTCAAACAAGTTAATTAAGAAGAACAGAAGATGGTGCATGCCAATCTCAGGGACTGCAAGGTAAATTGGAGAGAAAGGAAGCTGAAAAATGTAAGGAGTGTTTGTAAAGAAAGCTACAATAGTTTAGAAGGCTGCATCGTATATTAGGGCCAGAGGTGGTGTACAACAGCCAATGAACACAGAAAACGTACTTTAAAAATCTGTGAGTTTTGGGGGAAAATGGTTGTTGTTTTTAAGAATATGCAGTGGGACATCCACATAGAGAATAGAAGTAAAGGAGCTTTTTAAAGCCAAATCTGAAAGCTGCATTTAATAACTTAAATACTTTTGCCAGAAAACAGTCAACCATTTAAACATTTTGTTTATATTGCTGGCAATTTGCCACAGTCAAACATTATTTTCTTTTCTGTCTAAGATAATTGTAACAGTAGAGATATTGGGAAAGGGTGTGGTATAGTACAGAGTTTGGAAATTTGATTTTTAAAAAAATAGTGCATTTTTGTTAAATTAGGAGCCGCATGCTGTTGTTCAAATGCCGATAACAATAATTAACAAGATGGGGACAGAGTTATGAATTTCCATTCAACGTCATGAATCAAGAGGAATATTTGGGCATAAAGTATTTCTTAGTGAATAATTTTGCAATGGAATGATATAATATGGTGGTAAAACATTTGTTTTTTTTTCAAAACAGTATCAAATCCCCTGTCTTGCATTTAAGTTGTCAGTGAAAGCTGAGAAAATATCGTTTCCCTCTGCTTGTTTGTGTTGTGACACCAAGTAGTCCTCATTCTGTTCAATCACCCTATGATCTTTGTGTCTTGGTATGTTATGATCTGCTTGTACTGCATGCAAAACAGAACTCTTCACTGAACTTAGGTACATGCGACAATAATAAATCAAATCAAATCAATGAGCCCTTCTTGGATTCAATTGATCTAAGTCAGGAGCTGCACTTGAATCCTTCATGAATTGCATGCAGCTTCAAAGCTGTGGGTTACTGATCTCTGGCCTGGGAAGAAACGGTTTCAGTAGATTTGATCTGCTGAATGATCTCATTGTCAGAAAAGTAGCCTGAGATAGCAGTTCATGGTGATTGAAGTAGAAGCAAGTTGATTTGTAATCAGTGTACATGTGAAAACTGTACTAAAGCTTGGGGATAATATTTCACCTCTTTTTAATTTTGTTGTTTTATGATCCTTTTATGTGGCTGCTCTGAATATCATTTGTAAAGCTGAACAAATCAAATTTGTTATGAGGAATCATTCTATTGAAATAAATTATTTTGGTTAGGATACCAAAATTGTTGATATTTTCCAAATTTACGATTCAAATCAGTAAATTCAATCTCCGACATTGTTCAGTTCAGGACTTCTTTCCTATTGCTCTGGCTCTGATAATGTATTATCCATCTTGGTTCATTATTCTGCACATCTTTTCCGTAAGCTCTGTCGTTTGAACCAGTTACAGGACTTCCCTTCTGTATATGAACTCATATCATTGCCCACAGCTCTTAAAATGTTGCACCCAAAACTGTCCACAGTATTCCTGCTAGCTCCAACAAATGTTGTATACAAGTTCAACATCATCTCCTTGCTTTTGTACTCCATACCCATTTTAATAAAACAAAGAATGCTGCATGCTTTATGTGCTGCTTTCTCTACTTGTCCTGCCACTTTCAATGATCTGTGCATATTTACCCAGGTTCCTCTGCTCCTACAATTCCCCCTGCACACTAAGAATCAGATCACTAATATAAATTAGAAAAAAGAGAGGCTGGAAACTACACTACTACACTACAAATCTCCCTCCTCCTGAAAAATATCCATTGACCATTACTCTCTGTTGCCTGTCATACAGCCAATTTTGTATCCATGTTACTATTTTTATTCCATGACCTCTCACTTTTCTCTCAAGCCTGTTGTGTGGGTATGTTTAAAATACTTTCTGAAAGTCTATCTATACCACACCATAAACATTACCCTTGTGAAGCCTTTGTGTTATCTCTTTGGCCTTTATGTTATCTCTTTGAAACTCCAGCAAGTGAGTTAAACATGATTTCCACCAGAGGGTGGTGAAACTGTGGATATCATTGCCGCAAAAGGCTGTGGAAGTCAAGTCATTGAGTGTCTGTAAGACAGAGATAGATAGTTTCTTGATTGGTAAGGGGATTGAGGGTTACAGGGAGAAGGCAGGAGAATTGCATTGAGAAACATATCAGCCATGATCGAATGGTAGAGCAGACTAGATCAGCTGAATGGCCTAATTCTGCTCCTATAGCTTCTGGTCTATGGTCTAACAGCATTAACCTCATTGAGTCTTTCTGATACCTCTTCAAAAAATCTCAATTTTATTTTCTACTTGGCAGTAGCCATTAGCACATTTTTTCTTCTTCATTTTAATTTCTATCTTCTTTATCATTCGGGAAGCTCTGGATCTGTTTGTTATATCTTTCCCATTAGAGGGACATACATCATGACTGTGCCCAAATCATTTTTCCTGCTAATCTTCCATTCCAGTCAATCCAAAGGACTTTCTGAAAATTGAACTTTAAGCTGGATGGTCAGCATTGTCATCTGTCCATTTATGGATATATGTGCTCTCATATTGTCTACAGTCTGTGATATTGTGAGCTTATCCCTTCTAAATAAATCTTCTTATACTTTGCAATGTGTAGAGCCCCAAATGAGTGAATCTTGTATCAATATTTTTATCAAAAATGAAATCTAGTAAATTTTTTAAAAAATCATTGTGTTTTGTCAGGGGTGGTCTGTGAACTTTTTGTAACATGGCAAGTGTATCTCAGAAGCAAAAACTATAGAGAACCTCTGGCCATGACAATATATCAATGTCCATAGTTTCAGCATTTAGGTCTCTGTCCTGTGCACTTATTTATCAAATGCCAAGTTCCTGAAAATTAGGACCAATTAATGGTGAGGGGGGTAATCTATTTATAAGAGATTTCCAGATTTGTTTCACACACTTCGGTTTTCTCAGACCTGGCAGCAGTTGATAGGCCTTAGTAGAAGATCACACCCTTACAAGAAAGCTGAACAAATTAATTAAGGAAATACAGAAGATGATTTATTCCAATCTAAGTGACTGCAAGGTTACCTGGAGACAAAAGAACCTGAAAAATATAAGGACTGCTCGTCAATAAAGCTACAATGGTTCAGAAGACTGCATTATAAGAACATAAGAACATAAGAACTAGGAGCAGGAGTAGGCCGTCTGGCCCTTCGAGCCTGCTCCGCCATTCGATAAGATCATGGCTGATCCTTTCGTGGACTCAGATCCACTTACCCGCGTTCTCACCGTATCCCTTAATTCCTTTATTGTTCAAAAAAAATCTACCTTTTTTTTAAAAACATTTACTGAAGTAGCATCAACTACTTCACTGGGCAAGGAATTCCATAGATCAACAACCCTCTGGGTGAAGAAATTCCTTCTCAGATCAGTCCTAAATCTGCTCCCTCTAATCTTGAGGCTATGCCCTCTTGTCCTAGCTTCACTTGCCAGTGGAAACATCCTCTCTACTTCTATCTTATCTGTTCCCTTCATAATTTTATATGTTTCTATAAGATCCCCCCTCAATCTTCTGAATTCCAATGAATATAATCCCAATCTACTCAGTCTCTCCTCATAAACCAACCCCCTCAACTCCGGAATCAACCTAGTGAACCTCCTTTGCACCCCCTCCAGTGCCAATACATCCTTTCTCAAGTAAGGAGACCAAAACTGCACACAGTACTCCAGGTGTGGCCTCACCAGCACCTTGTACAGCTGCAACATAACCTCTCTGCTTTTAATCTCAATCCCTTTAGCAATGAAGGACAAAATTCTAAAAGTCAGGTGCGGTGAACAGTGTCCAAAGACTACATGGAGAAAATACCTATTCAAAACCTGCAAACTTCAGAGAATAAATCTCAATGTTTTTGAGAAAAAACCTTGGAATATTAGCTCAATCGGAGAGAAGAAATAGTCTTGTTTTCTGAAGTCAACTCTGAAATCTGCCAGTTAGCTCAGTGACTGGACAGTGTTTTATGATGCAGACTGATACCAACAGTGCTGGTTCATTTCCTTCATTGAGTTTAATCTGATGTCACCATGAAAGCCCTGCCTTCTCAACCTCACCCCATGCATGAGGTGTGGTGACTCTCAGATTAAACTCATCACCAGTCATCTCTCTCTTCTCTCTCTAATGAGAGAGTGGCCCTCTGGGACTTTGTCTTCTTTCCACTCACAGTCAAATCATTTAACCATTTAAAAGTGTTTTGTTTATGCCACTTTCCAGAGCTAAACAATGTTTCCTATGTCTCTATACCACAAGCACCTGTTTGATGTATGGAACAGTAGCTTTGGTGGGAAGGGGCAGGGTAAAGTATAGAGGTCAACTATTACTGCTCGCTGCTAAAAGCCCTGTCCAGACACAGGTCAATGTTAAAGGTGCTTGTCAGATGCCCACTTGCTGTCAGAAGAGAAACATCAACCCCTAGTGTGGTTTGCAATAATTTTCAGGTTCAATTTTATTGTTCTGCGGAAGGATCACCGGACCCCTGAAACATTAACTCTGATTTCTCTTCACAGATGCTGCCAGACCTGCTGAGCTTTTCCAGCAACTTATGGTTTTGTTTCAATTTTATTGAGTCCCCCTTCTTAAATTTTTTGGATTAACCCCTTCAAATGACAACGATCAATGTTTCAGCTTCCACAATGATATACCATAAAGTAGTCACGGATGCTGAGTTGATTATTAACATTAGTTTTATTAAATAAATTCAAGAAAGACACTCATCTAACAAGTGAAAACATTTTTAGCAACAAATAAAAATAGCACAAAGGTCACAGTAACTGGATATATGAGAATTAAATCTGATTCCAGAATCCAGCTCTTAGAGAGACCTCTACCTTTTGCAAGAGTAAATACCTTAAGTTTTTATGCTGGTATGATCCCAGTTCTTGGTAATATTGGACAAGTCGGATGTGAAACCTGGTGTGATTAAACATAAGTTTTATTTTGGTAATTGGTTACAGAGGTGATGAGTTACTCAACAGACAAGTACTTTTAAGTTTAATGCACAAAAAGGGGTTAAAACAAAACTATTACAGCATACAATAATCAGTTAAAATTACCTTATTACAAATATCAGAAAAACAGATTTAATCCATCTACCATTAAATTAACCTTAAAGATACTCAAAGCTTGGTGCAGGATCACCCTGTTTCCATTTTAGACTTCCTTGTTCAGCTGGCATGGCTGTACTTGGTTTCTTCCCAACAAACTTTTGCATTCACTTGACACTAGCTTCTTGAGTTAATGTCTCTTTATGAGACTTTTAAATAAGGAATTAAACGTATACACTCACTAACCTTCTGAATGGTTCTGTCTTTCTAAATTAACTGGTTTCTGTCTCTGTCTCTGTTTGTCACAGGATACCTTGTTGTCCAAAAGCCCACTTTTTCCCTCCTCTACTCTGTTTCTTTTCTCTAAAGTGCTGAACTAATCACCTCAATTGTTTCATTTAAAGCCTATTTCAAATTCGTGTAGATAAATTTCATGACATCCTACACCACTCACAGAACTCAAAAATGGAACTAAATCCTTCCGTTCTTAACCCACACAATATAGCTATACAAAACAAATATAAAGCGATACATAGTGCTGTTAACACTAAACCTTTCCAAGTCATAACAATAATATTAACATGAATTGTCATATAGAGCTGACAGAAATCTTCCATTAACTGTCCCTAAACACTGCTAAAATCATGAGAAAAAGTTCCTGACTAATTATCACCAATTTATGATCAATCTAAATCTTGCCTAGGGCAAGCACGTGATTCTTCTGCCATTGTGTTACTTAGAGTACTCACAAACATCACAGTTAATTTAGGAAGGAAGAGGACAGTAGAAGAAATTTAATTGGCCTTCTATATATATGATTTGGATGAAAATTTAGGGATAGTTGGTAAGTTTGCAGATGACAGGATAATTGGTGGAGTTGTGGACTGTGACAAATGTTTTCAAAAGATACAACAGGGTATAGATCAGTTGGAATGTTGGGCAGAGAAATGGCAGAATCCCCCTCGTCCTCACGTACCACCCCACCAACCTCCGGATCCAACGCATCATCCTCCAACACTTCTGCCATCTGCAATCCGACTCCACCACCAAAGACATTTTTCCCTCCCCACCCTTATCTGCTTTCCGGAGGGACCACTCTCTCCGGGACTCCCTTGTCCGCTCCACACTCCCCTCCAGCCCCATCACACCCGGCACTTTTCCCTGCAACCGCAGGAAGTGCTACACCTGCCCCTACACCTCCCCCCTCACCCCCATCCCAGGCCCCAAGAAGACTTTCCACATCAAGCAGATGTTCACCTGCACATCTGCTAATGTGGTATACTGTATCCGCTGTTCCCATTGTGGCCTCCTCTACATCGGGGAAACCAAGCGGAGGCTTGGGGACCGCTTTGCAGAACACCTACGCTCGGTTCGCACTAAACAACTGCACCTCCCAGTCACGAACCATTTCAACTCCCCCTCCCATTCCTCAGACGACATGTCCATCCTGGGCCTCCTGCAGTGCCTCAACGATGCTACCCAAAGGTTGCAGGAACAGCAACTCATATTCCGCTTGGGAACCCTGCAGCCCAATGGTATTAATGTGGACGTCACAAGCTTCAAAATCTCCCCTACCCCTACCGTATCCCAAAACCAGCCCAGCTCGTCCCCACCTCCCTAACCTGTCCTTCCTCCCACCTGTCCCCTCCTCCCATCTCAAGCCCCACCCCCATCTCCTACCTACTAACCTCATTCCGTCCCCTTGACCTGTCCGTCCTCCCTGGACTGACCTATCTCCTCCTTACCTCCCCACCTACACTCACCTTTACTGGCTCTATCCCCGCCTCTTTGACCTGTCTGTCTCCTCTCCACCTATCTTCTCCTCTATCCATCTTCTGTCCGCCTCCCCCTCTCTCCCTATTTATTTCAGAACCCCCTTCCTCACCCCCATTTCTGAAGAAGGGTCTAGGCCCGAAACGTCAGTCTTCCTGCTCCTCTGATGCTGCTTGGCCTGCTGTGTTCATCCAGCTCTACACCTTGTATATCTCATATTTCTTTCTTTCACCAGTCTGATAAAGATTCATTGACCTGAAATATTAACTCTGTTTTTTATCTTCAGGTGTTGCCTGAACTGTTGACTGGTTTTAGCCTTTACTGTATTTGGTCTGTATTTGCCTAATGTTGTGTGCACAGACATTTCAATGTTTAGTTTTGCATATTTTGCATAACAGTTTCTCTTAATTTTTGCAGTAAAATTGATTCAGTCATGCCATACTCTGATTTGTTCCCAGGCCTGGCAGGATATTGGTCTGCCCCTTTCCACGACCAGCAATGAGGCTTGCAAAATGTATGATGCTTTTCTGACACAGGTAAGGCTTCAGTATTAATAAAATGTGTTAAATCCATTGACTAATACCTTTTGCATTCCCAACACTCAAAAATAATGAAAACCTGAGGTTCAAAACTCAAAATTGAACAAAATTTATGAATAGAAACTCGTCATTTGGTCCACTGATTTCTGCTTCACAAGAATGCCCCCACTCTGCTACCTGACCCCCATTTAGCCCCATCCCATCCCATCCACTTGAGGTTCTGCACATCAATGTTTATACATTTTGTCCAGTACATCCAATCCGTATTGTGTAGCAAAATTCACATTTTTGTTTTTACACAGCAACCAGGGGACTTTAAAGGTGATGTTTGAAATTGGAGCATTATATGAACAATGAAGTATAATAGAGGTGGTCGGAGGATGGAGGTACACTGGGGTTAGCAGTGTAGGGAAGAAAGAAAGCAGAGCGAGCTTAAGAGGGGAGAAAATGCAATTAAGAGTCAAGCAGGATTGTCAGAAGAGCTGGAGTAGAATTCAAGAGAGTCGGTGGTTAACAAGGGTAGATGAGAAGGGTAGATGTAAAAATCACAGTGGGCCAGGCAGCATCCATGGAGAGAGAGTAAGCTAACATTTTGAGTCTAGATGACTCTTCATCAGAGCTGTGATTTCCGGCATATTTTGTTTTCAACCTCACATTTTGTATGCTCATAAATGAGCATTATTGTTGGGAGGAAAAGAGAAGGGACAAAGAGGAAAAAGGAGAAAGGATGAGAAAGAAATCGTTCGTAAGTTTGCAGATGACACCAAAATTGGAGGTGTAGTGGACAGCGAAGAAGGCCATCTCAGAGTAAAACGGGATCTTGATCAGATGAGCCAATGGGCCGAGGAGATAATGTGAGTTGGCATTTTGGAAAGGCAAATCAGTGTAGGACCTATACACTTGATAGTGAAGTCCTGAGGAGTGTTGCTGAACAAAGAGACCTGGGAGTGCAGGCTCATAGTTCCTTGAAACTGGAGTCACAGGTAGATAGAATAGTGAAAAAGGTGTTTGGTATGCTTGCCTATATTGGTCAGTGCATTGAATATAGGAGTTGGGAGGTCATGTTGCAGCTGTACAGGACATTGGTTAGGCCACTTTTGAAATACTGCATGCAATTCTTGTCTCCCTGCTATAGAAAGATGTTGTGAAACTTGAAAGCGTTCAGAAAAGATTTACAAGGATGTTGCCAGGGTTGGAGGGTTTGAGCTATAGGGAGAGGCTGAATAGGCTGAGGCTATTTTCCCTGGAGCATCGGAGGCTGAGGGGTTACCTTATAGAGGTTTATAAAATCATGAACATAAGAACATAAGAGCTAGGAGCAGGAATAGGCCATCTGGCCCCTCGAGCCTGCCCCGCCATTTAATAAGATCATGGCTGATCTTTTTGAGACTCAGCTTCACATACCCGGCCACTCACCATAACCCTTAACTCCTTTACTGTTCAAAAATTTATCTAGCCTTGCCTTAAAAACATTCAGCGAGGTAGCTTCAACCGCTTCACTGGGCAGGGAATTCCACAGATTCACAACCCTTTGGGTGAAGAAGTTCCTCCTGACCTCTGTCCTACATCTGCTTCCCTTTATTTTGAGGCTATGCCCCCTAGTCCTAGTTTCACCTGCTAGTGGAAACAACCTCCCTGCCTCCACCTTATCTATTCCCTTCATAATCTTACATGTTTCTATAAGATCTCCCCTCATTCTTCTGAATTCCAATGAGTATAATCCCAGCCTACTCAGTGTCTCCTCATAATCCAACCCTCTCAACTCTGGAATCAACCGGGTGAATCTCCTCTGCACCCCCTCCAGTGCTCGTATATCTCTTCTCAAGTAAGGAGACCAAAACTGCACACAGTACTCCAGGTGTGGCCTCACCAGGACCCTATACAGCTGCAGCATAGCCTCCCTGTTTTTAAACTCCATCCCTCGAGCAATGGCAGACAAAATTCCATTTGCCTTTTTAATTACCTGCTGCACCTGCAATCCTACTTTTAGCGATTCATGCACAAGGACACCCAAGTCCCTCTGCACAGCAGCGTGCTGCAATTTTTTACCATTTAAAACATAGTCCATTTTGCTGTTATTCCTACCAAAATGGATGACCTCACACTTATCAACATTGTACTCCATCTGCTAGACCTTTGCCCTTTCCACTTAGACTACCTATATCCCTCTGCAGACTTTCAGTGTCTTCTGCACACTTTGCTGTACCGCTCATCTCAGTGACATCTGCAAATTTTGACACACCACACTTAGTCCCCAACTCCAAATCATCTATGTAAATTGTAAACAATTGCGGTCCCAACACTGATCCCTGAGGCACACCACTAGCCACTGACCGCCAACGAGAAAAACACCCATTTACCCCTACTCTTTGTTTTCTACTAGTCAACCAATCCTCCATCCATGCCAATACATTACCTGTAGTACCGTGCAACTTTATCTTACGTAGCAACATTTGGTGTGGCACCTTGTCGAAGGCCTTCTGGAAATCCAGATACACCACATCCACAGGTTCCCCATTGTCCACCATGCAAGTAATGTCCTCAAAGAATTCCACCAAATTAGTTAAACATGACCTACCCTTCATGAACCTATGCTGGGTGTCCCAATGGGACAATTTATATCCAGATGTCTTGCTATTTCTTCCTTAATGATAGATTCAAGCATTTTCCCCACTACCGAAGTTAAGCTAACTGGCCTATAGTTACCTGCTTTTTGTCTAATTCCTTTTTTAAACAGTGGCATCACATTGGCTGTTTTCCAATCTGCGGGAACCATCCCAGAGTCCAGTGAATTTTGGTAAATAATTACTAGTGCATTTGCTATTTCCCCCATCACCTCTTTTAGTACCCTGGAATGCATTTCATCAGGGCCAGGAGACTTGTCTACCTTTAGCCCCATTAGCTTACCCAGCACTGCATCCTTAGTGATAATGATAGTTTCTAGGTCCTCACCTGTTATAACCTTCTTGCCATCAGTTTTCGGCATGTTATTTGTGTCTTCTACTGTGAAGACCGACACAAAATAACTGTTTAAGCCTCGGCTGTTTCCTCATTTCCAGTTATTAACTTGGCCTTCTCATCCTCTAAAGGAACAATGTTTACCTTCGCCACTCTTTTATGATTTACATATTTATAGAAACTTTTGCTGCCTGTTTTTATATTCTGAGCTAGTTTATTCTCATAATCTATCTTACTTTTCTTTATAACTTTTTTTGTGGCTTTCTGTTGGCCTTTAAAGATTTCCCAGTCTACTAGTTTCCCACTACTCTTTGCTTTTTTGTATGTATTTTTTTCAATCTGATACTTTCCTTTATTTCCTTAGACATCCATGGCTGGCTCTCTCTTTTCCTACAGTTCTTCCTTATCACTGGAATATACTTCTGCTGAGCACTGTGAAAAATCGTTTTGAAAGTCCTCCACTGTTCCTCAATTGACCCACCATAAAGTTTTTGCTCCCATTCTACCTTAGCTAACTCCTCCCTCATCTGATTGTAGTCTCCTTTGTTTAAGCACAGGACATTGGTACTGGATTTAACCTTTTCACGCTCCATCTGTATTTTAAATTCGACCATACTGTGATCGCTCCTTCCAAGAGGATCACTAACTATTATTCCTGTCACATTACACAGGACTAGATCTAGGATAGCTTGCTCCCTCGTAGGTTCCATTACATATTGTTCAAGGAAATTTTCGTGGATGCATTGTACGAACCCCTCCTCAAGGCTGCCATGACCAACCTGGTTTGACCAATCGATATGTAGATTAAAATCCCCCATGATAATTGTTGTACCATTTTTACATGCATTGGCTATTTCTATGTTTATTGCCCGCCCCACCACGATGTCATTATTTGGTGGTCTATAGACCACACCTATCAGTGATTTCTTCTCCCTGCTATTCCTAATTTCCACCCAAATGGATTCAAATTTTTGTTCAGTAGAACCTATATCATCTCTCGTTACTGCCCTGATATCATCCTTAGAAATCAGAGCGACACCACCTCCCTTACCTTCCTGTCTGTCCTTCTGAACAGTTTGATACCCCTGGATATTTACCTCCCAGTCATGACCATCCTGTAACCATGTCTCTGTAATGGCCACTAAATCATACCCATTTGCCATGATTTGCGCTGTCAACTCATCCACCTTGTTTCAAAAGCTCCGAACATTCAGATAAAGTGCCCTTATGCCAGTTTTTGCACCTTCTTTTTGAGTCCTATCACCTCCATTACTAACAGCTCTTGAGTTCTCCTTCCCTTTAACTTTTTTCCTAATTTTCAATGGAGTTGAACCTTTCTCATCACCTGCTAACCTGCTGCTTTGCCTTCCATTTATTGTTATATTCCCTGTACACTCACTCCTCCCTTCCCCCCTACTTACTAGTTTAAAGTCCTATTGACCACCCTATTTACCCTTTTCGCCAGAACACTGGACCCGGCCCTGTTCAGGTGGAGTCCATCCCAGCGGTATAGATCCCTCCTGTCCCAGAACTGATGCCAGTGCCTCATGAAAAGGAAACCCTCTTTCCCACACCTCTCTTTTAGCCACGTGTTTACTTCTCTGATCCTCGCTGCCCTATGCCAATTTGCACGTGGCTCGGGCATGGATAGTGTGAATAGCCAAGGTCCTTTCCATGGGGTGGGGGAGTACAAAGCTAGAGGGCATAGGTTTAAGTTGAAAGGGAAAAGATTTCAAAGGGACCTAAGGGGCAACTTTTTCATGCAGACGGTGATGCATGTATGGAATGGGCTGCCAGAGGAAGTGGTGGAGGCTGATACAATTACAACAATTAACAGGCATCTCAATGGGAATATGAATAGGAAGGGTTTAAAGGGATATAGGCCAAATGCTGGCAAATGAGACTAGATTTATTTTGGATGTCTGGTCATCATGGACAAGTTGGACCAAAGGATCTGTTTCCGAATTATACATCTGTATGACTCTATGATTCTAAATTGTCCAAAATAAAAAAAAACAGGGCTGATAAAAATGAATTTA